CTTTGGTTTTAAAGTTTTCCAATTCACCACTCTCTTTATTAGCCTTGGGCCAGTTCATAAGGGCTTAACATCCCTAACGAACTTTCAATTGGTATCATAGCCAAGTTCCGATTCCATCTGAGCACTCTCAGGCCCCACATCTACTAAACCCCATCTGAGATGTTGTATCAGGTGGGGGGAACTCGTGACTGTGATCTGGTCGTGTATATTATTACCCATCGGGTGCGCTGGAGAGAGCCGCTATCCTCAATAGTTAGTCGTATGCACGATCCAATCTATCCCTTCCAATTGACCCATTCGCATGGTGCTCTTTTCGAGGTCAATAATTGTATGTCAAAGTACTGCTCGATGACAATAACTTATATAAAATAACTTGAGAGATTCCACTGAGGAAATTTGACATATTTGAGATTGTATATCAGAGCATTGCTTGATGATGTTAACCTGTATGAAGGAGGTAGAGAGAATCCACTAATAATGTATGATCTATCCGAGGTTATATGTTAGAGCACTTATTGATAATATTAACTTATATGGAAGATGTCATGAAAAACCATCAAAGATGTATGACATATCCAAGATTATATGTCAGAGCACTCCTCGATGATGTTAACCCATATATAAGAGGTCAAGAGAATATACCAAGGATATATGATCTATTCTATGTTAGATGTTAGAGCACTGCTTGATGATGATAACCTATATGAAAAAGGTCGAAAGAATCCATAAATGATGTGTTACTTATCTGAGGTTGTTGGTTAAACCATTGCTCGATGATATTAACCTATATAGAAGAGCTTGAGAGAATCCACCAAGAATGTATAAACTATACGAGGTTGTATGTTTGAGCACTACTCGATGACGTTAATTTATATAGAAGAGGTCGAGAGAATCAACCAAGGATATGACATATCTGAGGTTGGTATGTTAGAGCACTCCTTGATGATGTTACCTATATGGAAGAGGCCGAGAAAATCCACTAAAAATATATGACATATCCAAGATTTTATGTCATAGTACTATTCAATGATGTTAAGCTATATGGAAGAGGTCAATAGAATTCATTAAGGATGTATGGACTATCCACGATTGTATGTTAGAGCACTGCTTGATGACATTAACCTATGTTGAACAGGTTGAATCGAATCCCCATGGGATCAATTTTTGCTTGATTGGGAGGAGTGAACACCTCTTATATTATGAATTAAGGGTGAAGAAAAGTCTATCTTTAGACAGTTGCAGCCTTTTTGAGGTCGAGATTAAAACTCCTCCCAAGGAGTAGAAGTTCATTTATAAATTGTATGAAGCTTGTAATTTATTGAAAATACTATTACATTTATTAGAAGTTTTATGATCCCAAGATATCATCTTGGATATTTTAAGAGTAGGAGAAATCTTCTTAACCATAGACGTAGTCACAGTTGCACAAATCCATATTTAATTTCCATGAAATTGTTGCAATAATAACTTATGTCGGGACATTGACATGAACGATCTTTTAAGGTTGGAGCAAAAATTGCCCCAAGTCGGGAACCACGTTCCCAAAGACAGTGTCAAATTGTTACATCCTAGAATATTCACAGTGATAGAGAAATATAAAGTTAAATATGTTAGTTTTTTACGAAGATCCAGCACACAATTAGATAAAATAGAGAGGGTGAAATATTTATAAGAGATACCAATATTTTTATATGGATAAACCATGAAAAGAGGGAAATAATAGAACATAGTCGAGTTTGAATAAATCCACTAGTGCTTACAATCAATTAAAAATGTGGCCCTTCCTTGGGGGGAAGACCTTGGTTTGATATAGCAAATATACAACATATAAAGCACATTATATGGTGGGAATAGAAAGAATCAATATTGGCATGTTTGTTTAGTCTGTACTACCATAGTTGGTGAACAACAGAGGTCAGAAATACTATTATCTGGTTATAGAAGTAGAAAGGATCATAATCAAAGAAGGAGGTAAGAATGATCGTGGTCGGTAGATGATCGAGGTCGGAAAGACCTTTGTTATGTGGAAGTCCAATAATAGCTTGAAGATGGGTGGAACTCTAGTGTTAGTTTGTGGCCTGGCGGAAGTCCTACATCTTTCGGTGGCCAGGTGTAAGTCTATCACTAGTTAGTTACAGATCAAAATCCAACGTTAGTTGATTATTGGGCAGAAGCCCAACATTCTTTGATGGTTTGGTGGAAATCTGATGAAAGTCCAGTGATTAGAAGAAATTCGGTGTTTGGTAGATGTCCAACGAAGGTCTGGCGACGGATGGTAGTCAGGTGATGAGTGGAAGTTCGGTGTCAATTAGTGGCCGAGCATTAGTCTGGTGAAAGCCCGACGACGGTCGATAGTTGGGTGGTGGTCGAAGAGGAGTCCGATAGTAAGAGACTCTCTTCCTTTTTCCTCCTCTTCATTTCTTCTCTTTTTTGCTTCCGTCTGGCGTCAGTTGATGGCCAGACAGAAATTCGGTGTCAGTTAATGGCTGGGCAGAAGTTCGATGATAGTTAGTAGTCGGGTTAAAGTTCGACGGTGGTCGAGGAGGAGTCTGGTGGCAATAGAACTATTTTCCTTTATGTTGCAAATCTACTTTTTCATAGCTTATGTTTTGATGATTGACAAACACTATCTCTCTTGGACTACTTGTTGCTTCTAACTTTTCAGGAATTGAAGATCGGACGATCAAGAGGAAGCCAAGTCCAGGATCGCGTAGGTTTAGGGTTGAGTCAGTCTGTAATTTTATTTTTCACCTTTTGAGTCTACTTGTAAGAATCAAAAAGACTGATGCTAAGTAACCCGTCACACACACACTTGAGAGGCTTAGAAATTCTGTTTTTGCCCACATCAGCCCGGCCGATATTTATATCGTCCGGGACGATCAGCTTAAAATAGAAAGTCTAATTAAGGATTCTTAATTAAGGCAGCCGACATTAACATATCGGCCAGGACGATACGTGTATCGGCCAGGACGATAAGCTCAAAATAGAAAGAGATAGCCGCCTTAGACAGTTTAGGCATACTGAATTTTAAATTATCGTCCAGGACGATTACAGGATCGGCCTGGACGAAATTACCAAATTATGTCTTAATTGATAAGGAAATCAAGGGAGTAATTAAGGATGATTGATACGATCATATCGTCCAGGACGATCGTGAGATCGGCCTGGACGATCAAGCCAAATTTCAATCGGCCAGGACTGTTCCCAGGGCTGTGCTCAGGATGATTTACCTCTGATTTGAACTAATCGGACAGGACGATCGTGAGATCGGCCTGGACGATCAAGCCAAATTTCAATCGTCCAGGACTGTTCCCAGGGCTGTGCTCTGGCCGATCTTCCTTGATTTGTACTAATCGGCCAGGCCGATGTCCATATCGGCCGGGACGATAAAGTCGGCTACTTGCAATTAATGAGCTCCTCTTGAGCTCTTCTATTTAAAGAGCTCTTCTTCAACGTTTTTAAGAGACCTTTGGCTGCTGCCTTGACCTGAGAAGACCTTGAGGAGAGAAAGAGAGAGAGGGAGAGAGAGAGGATCTTGTGAGGGGGAGCTTGTGAGGGGATTCACAAGGGTTGCTCAAGGATCGCTCTGCTTGTCTTTCGTCTGGAGTTTCTCGTCCGTGGAAGGGTCGGTAGAGGTAAGGAGTTTTGCTTTTGGTTGTGGTTCTCTGCCAGCTTCAGAAGGAAGCAAAAGGAGGTAGGTTCTCTGCCTTGCCGGGGTGGCAAAAAGGAGTTTCTTGTGAGGGCTTCTCCGCCTAGCTGTGGGGGCTAAAGGAGAGTCACGTTTTGTAGTGCAATACTTGGAGGGTGCCTCCAAGGAGTGGACGTAGGTCTAGTCGACCGAACCACTATAAATCTTGTGTTCTTATTTTTGCTTCCGCACTTTTAAATTCCGCATTTATTTTTGTGGTGTGATTTGGTTTATGATTTTATTTCTTTGTGAAAAGAATTTTTTTAAAATACCAATTCACCCCCCCCCCCTCTTGGTTAGCTTGGGACTAAGTTCATAGGGCTTAACATCCCGAACGAACTTTCACTTTACTTCTTTCTTGGATCCCCTTTACATGAGAAATGATTGGTCTATTTATAATTTTCTGAGAGTGGCATGGCTAGTAAATTAGAAGAAGATCAAGGGTAAATTAGGAGTGGTTTGAATGGAAGGCCAATGTAGATCGCATTGATCATGGATTGTTTTTTGGGCATTTGAATGTCTTAATGATGTCAGAATTTGACGATCTTGGACTCATTAGATTTGTCTCGTCGTGCCGCTCGATTCGACTATAAGCATATCACATTTGAAAATTGTTTGGTAATCCAAATTATGCATTGAACCTTCCAAATGTGCTTCAGGTCTTTGATTTGGACCCATTTGAGCTCGGATTGGATCGAATTTGGTGTCACTAGGTTTGTACTTCCGAGAGGTTCAGTTTGACTATAAGTTTGCAAAAATTGGAGTTTAGATGATTCCAATTTTAATTTTTAAAGTTTTTAAATTTATATTGTTTGGGGATTCCTGCCTGATAAAGAAATTTTTTTATGAAATATCACATGTAATTAATCAATTAAATTTTATATTTATATTTTTTAAAATAAAATTAATTGTTATAAATTAATCTTAATTAAATTTTGATTATAGTTAAATTTCAATCCTAAAATTCATCTAGGCCCAATTTTTTTCTTAGAGTACATAATTTATAAGCTATGTTCTATAAAAAAATACTGAAATTAATTGATTATCTCCATCTGACAGGAAACACAGTAAATTTAAGAGTTATAAAATTTATTCTAATCAAAATTCTTTTCAAATACAAATCTTAAGAATTCAAATCGCTGTTCTTCTATTAAAAAAAATAATTTAAATTCTCAGCCACTGAAACACAAACATTATTAACTGCCACAACTGTTGTAAACAGCTTGTGCGCGCCAACCGCACCTGTCGACTGGCGAACCAGCAAGCCAAACACGCCGCTCATTCTCTCTCTATAAAGATCCCTCCCCCTCCCTCCCCACAAGACCCCCTCCCCTCAATCTCTCTTCGTCAATTCTGTTTGCAAAAAATCTTCAATAGAATACAGATCGAATCCTCAACAGATAAAATCGCCATTAGAAAACTTCCAACAATAATCATCACGTTTCCATCTCAGTCGCTTTCTTCTAACAGATTCCCAACTCTCCATTTCCTCCCTCCCTTTATGTAAATCCGACTAACCAATTGTACGGGCTTCGCAGTAGCCGGCAACCTGCAATCAACGACAAATAAAAATCCAATCTTTTTCTTCCCAATGGATTGCCTCGCCGATTGGCCCGAACCAATCGTTCGCGTCCAATCCCTTTCCGATAGCGGCGACACCATCGTACCTTCCAGGTACATAAAGCCACCGGCTGATCGCCCCTGCTTCGAATCGCTTCCATGTGAGGTGAATATCCCAGTCGTCGATCTTGGCGATCCAGACGCCGCTTCAACGGTCTCCAAAGCCTGTAGAGATTGGGGTTTCTTTCAAGCTGTGAATCATGGCGTTTGCCGGGAACTTATGAACTCGGCAAGGGAAGTATGGCGAGAGTTCTTCCACCTTCCCATGGAGACGAAGCAGGCTTATTCAAATTCTCCAAAGACGTATGAAGGCTATGGTAGCCGGTTAGGGATTGAGAAAGGCGCCATTCTCGACTGGGGAGATTACTACTACCTCCATTTCTCCCCACCGTGTCTCAAGAGTCAGGCGAAATGGCCCGCCCTCCCTGTTTTTTTAAGGCACATGCACAAAGACCTTGCATTCATCTTAAAATTTGTATATGAATTAAGCTTACATATTCAGCGCTGTTGCAGGGAGACGGTGGAGGAGTACGGGAAGCAGTTGACGAAGATGAGCGAGAGAGTTATGGAACTTCTGTCTCTGGGATTAGGGTTGGATCGAGGGAGGCTGCAGAGAGGATTTGGGGGAGAAGAGGTGGGGGTTTGCATGAGAGTGAATTATTATCCTACATGCCCTCAGCCGGATTTGACGCTAGGACTTTCTTCTCATTCGGATCCCGGCGGGATCACCGTGCTTTTGCCGGATGATAAGGTGAAAGGGTTGCAGATAAGGCACGGCGGCGGTTGGGTTACCGTTCAGCCACTTTCCGACTCTTTCATTGTTAACGTCGGCGATCAAATTCAGGTATTTATTTCGGCACATGTTATTTGCTGAAAAATTTCTGTTGGGATATGAATATTAAATTCGTTGGAATTATTTAAAATAAGAAATAAAATTTGTATTTTATATTCCTTAAGTAAATTCGATGATTTAAAATATTTATATATTTATGCTGATTTTCTTAAGATTTAATTTTAATAAGAGATCTTAAACTTATTAAGACAAGAGTAAAAATACAAGATTAATGTATATTTATATCATATATAATGTAAATATTTAAATTTATTTATATAACCTTCAAAATTTTAAATAATATACAAATATAATTAATATTAATTTTATTAGAATAAAAATATATATCTTCTTCCATATAATTTGATATTATTTAGATAATAGAAATTTATATAAATAAATATAAATATTTATATATTAAATATTTAAATAATAAAATTTGAATAACATACATCTAAATCTCCAAATTTTATCCTGCAGTTAATTCAAAAAAAATTGAAAGATTTTTTTATTCATCATTATCATGACATAGTATTTTTTTTTCTTTTATTTTTGAATTCATTGAAATACAAAGCATAATATTTGAGCAAATTTTTATTTATCATTTAAAAATTAATTTTAAAAATTTTGATTAAATTTTTAATTAAGATAAATTATAACTTTACTAGAATATTAATATAATATTTATTTTTTTATTACTTATTCATCTTAAAAATAGCTTGATAATTTGAGATTCGTTATAACTAATTTTTAATAGGATATTTTGATAAATATTTTAATTTATCATTATTTTTTTATTCTTTTCTGTATCTTGCGGCGTGTCTCGCGTTTGAGGTTAATGGCAGAGAGAAGGGAACGTCTGGAGTGGGCCCGCTTTGCCTTAATACATAGCTATTGGTCCTGGAAAGAGATTTGTGCTGTATATAAATTTTTTTAGCATTTTGATTTTTTGGAATATAAAATAAAGATTTTAAAATTTTATAAAAAAGATTATTTATTTATAAAAAAATAAAACAATTATTTTATTTATAAGTATAAATCATTATTTTAAAATTTATATAAAAAGATGAAATTATAAACATATTAATACCAATTAAACCAATTATAATCTCATTTTCTCTCTAAATAATTTTCTCAACTATTTTCTTTTTTGTGCTTTATAAGTTTTGATGATTTCAGTATTTTAATTAAAATAATTCATAACTTATTAATTTTTTAAAACTATCAAAATTATCAAAATTGAAAAATTTTATGCTGCCATTAAAATCTAGGTAATATTTATTTCATATTAAATGTCTGTTTATAAATTTTTATAAAGATGGTTGGAAAACTCTAATAAAAAAATAAATTGTTTAAAAGCTAGTATCTTACTAGAACAAAAATTTATTAAAAATTATTAAAAAATAATGATCAAATAAAAATTATGATTATGATAAAAAGTTTTCTACCACGAATTCTTTCACTGTTGAAGAAGATATTTGTGTCGTCTTATGGCTCATATGAATTATTTAGCAATTATGACTTGACATGATTTTATTTATTGGCATAAATAATCTTTATTAATGTCAACTACATTGTTTGGCTTGATTGATTCCGACCACTGAGCTCATTTATTCAATTAATATCGTAAATAATCGCTCTTGCATTGAATAATCTCTCTTACCATTGCATGGAAGAGTTCAACATAAATAATTATATGTATCTGAAAGGTATTATCTTCACATGTTATATTACATATTTTAAAATTCAAAGAAAACATTAAATGCAAGTCCTTTTCTTACTAGCTCTGTTTGTCTGCCTCTAATTAATGATTTTTTATTTTTTTATTATTGTGAGGAGATGGGCGACTAGTTATAATAATTGCAACTTTGCAGAATTTGAGCTGAATACAACTTTTATTAGTAAAAAAAACCTCATCATTAGCCGTGCTAGCAGCAGTTAATGGTTCAGATGGGCTCTGGATTGGGGTCCCATTAATGCCTTAGTTGCTTTACTTGATTTTATCCACGTGCTCGTTTTATCGGTTGTCAACCTCATTAATTAACAACCCGAAGTCTTCTCAAGATGTTTATGATTTTGTATTGGAATTTTGTCACATGTATTTTTAAAAGTTAGGATAGAATTTTATGACTTTGGCCTAATTTTTAGTTTTGTGTAATTATATATGACGTTGATATATAGGTGTAATGTAATTAATACTTTTGTAAACTATCAAAATAAATTTATGATGTATTAAAATATTTTTGAGTGAAAAAATAGAACCAATCTGATATACTTGTTACTTATTAATAGGTTTTGAGTAATGCGATATATCGAAGTGTTGAGCATCGGGTGGTGGTTAACTCTGCTACAGAGCGATTATCGATGGCCTTCTTCTACAACCCACGCAGTGATTTGCTTTTAGGGCCGATGCCGGAACTAGTGAGCCAAGATCGACCTGCCATGTATCAGCCAATGACCTTTGATCAGTATCGACTTTATATCCGAAAGCAAGGGCCACGTGGCAAATCTCATGTTGAGTCTCTTAAGGCAATCTAATTTTGCTCTCCATATTTGAAGAAATTATTAGACACAAATTTGTTAGGTATGATATATGTATATAGAAAATCATAAGTGGACACATACCACTACTCACGTCATGTGCTTATTTATGATTTGCTAGTTGCAGATCATTTCCTTTTCATATATGGGTAGTTAGATACATAATTTGGAACTAACAATTGTGTACCTTACAATTTCTTTTATTTTAAGGTAACCTTTGTCTAACTAATGCAAGTGTACCTGCAAATACAAATAAAATGAGAGAAAAGAAATGAGGATATTTTGTACCGACTAATTTATTATCCACTGATTCATGTACATTCCTTTGTTTTATCCTCTTTTTTAATAAAAGGTTATCACAATTGGAGAAAGTAATAGAGCTTTACAATAACTTTTAGCTACATTCAACAATGGATTGGTTATTTGTCTAAGCATTGTGTATATTATATTTGACTAATGATTTACTTCCACAAATAAAATCATATTCAAATTAAAGTGGGTATAAGATTTTTTATTTTAAATTGAGACATGTAAACTATTGATAAAGAATAAAAAAAATATTTTAAGCATAACTCTGTATGCCCATATTCATCTTGATTAAGTGCATCACTCAAAGTTTTAATAGGATTAAAGGAGTCCTTAATACAACTCATAACTTGCAAATCTTAACTAGTTCTAAGTCTAAAGTCATCCAGATCCACAGCTCGTCAAGTTGTCCTATAATCAACCATTATTCCACCCTCTATATTGTGAGCTACTAGTCAAGCTCAAGGACTTACAAAGTTGCCCATTTCCCAATGCTTTTTAGCCAAACAGCTTAGCCATTTTCCCATGATGCTTTCCATCCATATAGGTGTTCTTGGCAATAGAACAAATCAATGCTATTCATTATTAATTGGGAACTCGTACGAAATTCCTAACTAGTACTTAAAAACAAGCCACACTCACTCTCTATACAACTACTTACTCCAAATCAAATTCATCCACCTTTTATGCAATAGAATAATTTAGAAAATTATGCAATAGTATTATTGATCTTTATCAATAAATATATACTTAATTCTTTTGTACAAACCAAAGTCGTTCTTGTACTTTGTGCCAAATTTTTTTCTTGAAAGTGACTCTCCCAAAATTTTTCTTACAATTATCTCTATAGGTCTAATCAACTTGCTCTTCTATTAAAGGAACTTATTTGTATAAAGTAATTAGTTTAAATGAATCACTGAGATGTAGCCTCTCTCTCTCTCTCTCTCTCTCTCTCTCTCTCTCTATCTCTTTCTCTCTCTCTCTCTCTCTCTCTCTCTCTCTTTAAACTTTTTTTCTTTAAGAATTTCTCTCTCAAACACGGTAAACATGAGTCCTCAACATAGGGACCTATAAAACTCCTAATAATTTTACTAATCTGAACCATCACATGCTAACAATGCTCACCTCTTTTATTCTATCCTCTCTTAGTCTCCTCTATTTAGAATCTATTATATCATAGACATCATATATTTTTCTCCTTATTATACTTCTAATATAATGATTCTTCTCTTACTCTCCATAAGGTGTACTTAGCTTCTTGGCTCATCATGGAAAAAATGGATGATGATATCAGGTCTTTCTCTTCATATATGAGATTCACATGAAGAGATAATATAAGATGAATAATGGGAAACATATAAAATACTCATGTAAAGTCATACAATTTAATTTAAGTCATGTCAAGCCAATCAAACAATCTAGATTGATCAATCTATTAAATAAACTAGGTTCCTTAAGATTAATCACACTCAGAGTCACATCCAAAAGATACTATCAATAAACAAAATTTGTTTGCATCATAATCTGCTTGGAATAATATCAAGCATAATTATGACTCAAAGATTGTTATTCAAATATGATAATATAACATTGAAATGGGTCAGTTTATAAGGAAAATGATGAATCACAAAAATCACATGTGATGACTATATCTTTATATAAGAAACAATATAGCAATGATTTTTGAATCATCCAAAAGTGAAGAGAAGCATAAAATGACTTGAAAGGGTAATGTGTGTAGATGAAGAGTCTAAAAAGGGTAAAAGTTATCTAGTTAGTAATTCATACGATAAACATTCTAAGTTATCAAGTTTGAAATTATTTAGCTAAGAAGGTAGCCATCCTAATTCAATTATGAAACACTTTATCAACAATCATGAATTGCATCAATTAGTGTTAGTGTTTTTATCTCAAACCAAGAAAAATAATAAAAATTCCTAAATCGATGAATGCTATGTGGTAGATATATTAAAGATGTATGATTTATAATGAAAAGAAAGGATTGAGATAGGCTAATTATATAGGCTACTCCATTAATCAAAATCTTATTCATGTTAGGGTGGCTACTATGTAGCCTATAACCTATTAAAATTCATGCTTAATAAAATCTATATCATAAGAAGCATGATATGCATGCATGTTATTTGTCATTAAATGATAGAAACTTTATATGTTTTTGATTGGTTATGTCATGAAGGCACCTTAGCATTGATAATTCATTTGATGATATGCTCTATCCTACACTACATGAAAGGCAGGGATTTGCGGCAGACTTTGGAACAAAAATTTTTTTCTCAGAATTTTATGACTGATTTGTAACAGAAGAATTCATTCTTTTATTTGTGACATGTTTGTGGAGAAAGTTCTGCAATAAACATGCGGTAAAATTTTTGTCACATATCTGCTACAAATTCATCACAAATCATATGTAAATACAACGAAAATAAACCTATCTAAACCTGCTAATTGGGCATTTATTTTATTTGCCATGTTTTATTCTGGACCATAATATTACTCAGCTTTGATAGATGACATTTTCCTGTGGAACATCCTCCTTCAATGACATTCCTTCCTGTCGCATCCAAACTCACACTTAATCATTGCTCTTCTTCATTTTTGCAAATGTTGTCTCCTCTGACCATGACTTGCTGAAAAGTAGCAATGGGAGCTTGCTCACTTTAAGGTAACTAGCTTTCTCTCATTGTGCACTTCTTTAGGCAAATCCCTTAAATCCATTGAATTATATGATTTTGTAGATCCGAGATTTATGAAAAAAAGAGGGAAATAAAGGATTTATTCCGCTATTAGATTTATTAACTGACAGGATTCGCATAAAACATATTGTGAAATTGCCCCTAGTTTATGCTTTTTTCTAATGATATTCTTAAATCGTACATATTTTATGTTTGCATAGATGTTCTTACTATAACTTTTGCAAGAGTATATACCATAATGTATGCTTTTCGCCAATGATATGCTTCTTAATGATAAGACTAGAGAGGGAGTTGATGAAAAATTAGAATTATGGGGGTCAACCTTAGAATCTATTGTTCAAAGCGATAGTGAAATAGATAGGGATATTATTATTATAATTCAAGTTGGATGGTTGAAAAAGTGGGGGACTGCATCGCGCCTATTGTGTGATAGAAAAATACCCCTAAAATATAAGGAACAATTCTATAAGATGGTGGAGAGATTTGCAATGCTTTATAATACATAATGTTGGCCATTACAAGAGAAGCATAAATTAAGTGATGTAAAGATATGGATGCTAAAGTTGATGAGTGACTTCATACTTAGAGATAAAATATATGAAAAGTTTTGAATAGCTCTAGCGGTAGATAAGATTAGAGAGTGTTATCTTAATTAGTTTTGAAAGTTTATGAGGGTTGTTATACCTTTATGAACTATCTCGAGGTTAATCAAGAGGGGGGATGAATTAGTTATCTTAATAAATTTTAAGAGAAAAAGAAATTTTTTTTAAAATTTTTTGAATATTTTAAAATAATTAATCTTATCCTATAATGTGAAAGCAAAATTAATTTAGTAATAACTAAGATCAAAGATTTCAAACACAGAACAAATCATAGATAATGTGGAAATTAAATGAAGTAAAGTAAATAGAAAGAAAACACCATAATTATAATGGTTAAGTCAACTTGATGCATGTCCACTCCCCGAAAACCTCCTTTCCAGGTATGACACTAATATTAGTGTCTTCCATTTTTTCCCCCACAATGGTAGAGAAGCCCTTACAAAACCTTTCCACCGACCCGGTGAGGTAGAGTACCTTGAATCCTTTTACTCCCTCTTGGAGTAGGCAAAGAACCTGAAAATCCTACTACTCCCTCCGAGAGTGGGTAGAGAATCTTGAAATCCTTTTACTCCCTCCTGGAGCAAGCAAAGAACCTTTGACCTGATGCCGATGAAAGTCTCCTTGGAGCCATGAAGAAACTAAGGAAGAAGCTTGAAGAAGACGATGGAAACCTTTCTTAGAGAAACTTTTATGAATCCCTTACAACTCCCCCTCACAAGGATCTCTCTCTCTCTCTATCTCTCAAAGTTCTCCTCTCTTCCTTCTCTACGCTCTCTCGTACGTCAACCCAACAGTAAAATATCTCTCAAAAGATAATATAAGAGATTAAATAAAAAGCCTCTAAAAGAAGGCCTAATTTTAAATTTGCCATCAAAGATCATCCAATATGATCCTTAGATTACCTTATACAATTAATAGAAAATAGTCCTTTTAGCAAGTACGATCAATATTATCTTGTACGATCAGTTCAAGTATTTGTATAGGTCATCCAGTATGATTCTGCGATATGATACTAATTAGTTTTTAAAACTATGCTTTCAGATCATATAAGTTTTTGATGATACCAGAAGATTATTGTGTTGATTACTATTTCTCCTAATACATATTAGAAAAATTATGCTTTGTTTGTTTGTGTGTACTTCAGGAAAGTCATACTCCAAACTGTCGATGACTTCAAGATAGATTAGATTAGGGTTTCTGGTAATTAAAGTCTGTACTTTTTCTATTTTTCTTGAGTCTGAGAGAGTGTGATTGTAATTGGGTAAACGTGTACACACACACTAGGGGAGTGAGTCAAAACTTATATTTTTAAAACTAATCATACTATATGATTATGGAATCGTACTGTATGATTATGGAATATTGGATGATTTGACCTGAGTGTTCCTCCAAAAAGAAGTTAATCAAATCATGCCTTAGAAACTTTCTTTTGAATTATATATACTATATGAAGTTAGATTTGTACATACGACATCTAGAGTATGAAATTGATACGTACCAGTTTGTCCCAGATAAACTCAACATTTTCTAAACTGATAGTACTATATAAAATAAGTTTCATGTAGATAATGTCTATAGTATGAAATGGGTATGTGCCAGTTCA